TCAATGATAAAATTTTAATCAAATGAGTCATGAAAATTTTATTATAAAGAACGCTTCAACTTTAGTGATCGTCTATCGATTCTGTCGATGTGTCACAATAGATTGCCATATATGGTTTGGTTTGTAATGCCGAAGATTTATCAAAGCCATCGTGATGTGAAATATTTCTTCCAGTTTAGGATTATACTTTAATAATATTTGTTACATCAATAAAACTTAATCAGGAATCATTTATTGAAATTTTCACACAAATAAGCCTTTTTCACAGATAGGGAAAATCATTGGTGTAATATCCGATCCAAGTATTAACAGTAAATCAGAAATTTGTTATTGTTTCCCATTTTGGCAATTACATATTTTTTACAATACGAAGTTCAATGTAAAGTATATTTTTATTATTAAAAAGAAAAACACTCAAATTGTATGTAGAAAATGTTTAAAGGAGCAATATGCACTATTTATCGAAAGTTATAATGTAAATATTCGTGCAATTTCTTATATATATTTTTCGGTACAAAAAAAAAAAAAAAAAAANAAAAAAAAAAAAAAAAAGAATTAAAAGCTCATTAAAAAAAATATTACGAAATTTTATATGATTTTCTCATCTTGTTTTACATTTATGGCAAATAGATTGATAAAATCCTAATTGTGGATACAAATCGGGACACGTAACATCCGATCGATAAACAATAAAATGGAACTTTTTCAGTTTAATGAAATTCTGTAAAAGGAATAAAGATAGGGATAAAAAATATCCCTTGTTTGTTTTTTTCTTGTGTCATTATTCGTTATCAAATATTTGTCGAATTCTATTAATTTCAAAAAGTACAAACCATATGAAAAAAAAAAATGTATCTATCATATAATTTTACAGTTTTTATATTAATGAAGTCTCTACAGAAGATGCGGTAATTGCTTTTTATAATCGTTTCGATATCGGGAATTTTGCCACATTTAACAAGAAATAAAGCCACAATTGCAAAATTGCAATATTTCTTTCAAGAGCAACATCAAAAAAATTAGTTGACCTTTTGTACGACATTCATTTTTCTGCGCAATTAACTTATCTTTATAAGAAAAAGGAGGAGTGGATAGTACATATTTTTTGACGGAATTAATTTAACCGAAAAGGTTTTAACAAAAGTGAAAAAGTTAATTTTTAACATTTAACATAAAAAGAAATGTAATTCTAAAAGTAATTGTTAATTATGCAGTGATACGATATCAATAACGTAAGTAACGTAATGCAAAAATTCGACTAATCATTATGCTTGATATACTGATATGTACACAAGATCTAGGTTATATTTAGTTTATAGTTTCTAATAATATAACTTCTTTTAGAATTACAATTTCGCAATGAGTTTCTATCATAATATAACTTCTTTTAGAATTACAATGACACTATTTGAATAATCTAGAAAAATCATTTAAAATCATCGTATCACTAAAAATTTTTTTGTTTAAATTTTAAAAAATTAAGATGACAAAAACATGTTATTATGATTTTTTAGATGGGAAGAATAATTCATAATTTTAGATTCGCTATTCAATCCCCCAAGAAGCTCTAACGTATAAATTAATTTTCGATAAATCAAACCAACGGGGTAAAATTAATACTTGCGATTCATTGGTTGACGATCACGTGAGTGTACAGAAACATCGCGTGACCACAAATTTTCATATTGCATAGAATTGTCTTTCGACAAATTACTGCTTCGTCAGACTTTCGCATTTAACGTTGATTTACGTGAAATTACAGTTTCAAAATGAATATAAGAGGATGATCCGCTAATATAACTGTAGCGTGAGTTGTTTTAAGTCAATAAAGCTTATCAATTATTGGAGGAAAAAAAGCGATATTAAAGATGATCCAATTTGATAAAAATACAAGAATCAGTATCCAAGATGACGTAAAAAAAAAGATGCGGGGTGCGTTTACAAAATTGTATAACGCCTGATCCAACGGATTACAAAATTGATTTGATCAATTAATCCAGTGACCAGCATAACTTATACTGTACTACACCATCTACAATGGACATGGATTGGTATCTAAATAGGATTGTTCATATTCACAACTGTTAAATCCAACTCAAATAATTTAAATATGGATTGGATCGAAAATTCGAATTGCGCACCCAATTAATTAATTATTCATATATTTTTGATAGTAATTAATGCAAAAAAGTAGCTTTCATCTTTACAGATTTCATTCAAAGAATAAACTGAATTTTGTTCTTTATTTTATAATTCAAATATTTATCATTTTTAGGATCTTATATGTAATTATTCGCCCTGAAAGGATAAGACAAATAAAAAATATTGGATTATGATCCGTTTAGATCCAATTTTGGGATCATATGGTTCGAAAACATGAAATTTATTTATGTAACTCATGTAATCACTCTAAAAACAATAAAACGTCTAAATATTTAATGCAAATTGTAAATAAATAAAAATTGGTTTATAATGATGTAATATTGGCTGGTGGCCTTTCCCTATTTTTTTTTTTTGGTTTTTTTTTTTACGTTCATTCGCTCATAACACCACTATCACGAAATAATTTGTGTATTATGTATAATGAATTCGATCTTTGTACTTTGGAAATGAATCACTATAATGATGACGCGAAATTGAGAACAAGGAAAATTTTATGATGAATATTATAATGAATATTATCTTGTTTAAAAAATTTTATTTAAATTATTTTCACCAATTTTGCTGATATTGTAATATATACAGTCAATAACAATTACTTAAAACTCTCATCAAATCTTTTGCTACGAATCAAACATTCAAAATTATATGGAAAACTTAACGAATATAAAGGCCACTTTATTAGGATTAAAATATGATATCACTAGCTAATCAAATGATAGACAATTCACGTAAGGTTAACGACATAGACACAATAGCCTAAGTCATGGAATCTACTATTCAATATATATATATATATATATATTAATTAAATTGCAATCATTAATTAATTGCGTATAAAGAATCAGGCATATTCTGAAACTAACCAGCTTTGTAACAAAAACTTCGATCGTGATCGCTATAATATCATTATCATCAAAGATTTGAGGAAAAATTAGATTGAATAAAATAAAAAAGAAATACTATTTGCTTAACAGTTAAAGATTCTCAAAATATAAAGTATTTTACCTCTTTTTTTTAACATGAAATCCTCTTAAAATCAATGTTATTATAATCCTTTTCAGTAACGTTCAACATAATTCTATGCAATATTTGAATCGTATAGTTAAACATAAATATTATATAATATTTGCACTGAATAAAAACCCTGAAAATTTATTAAGTAAAAATAAACTTATTATTGAACATTCTAAACTAATTTCATAGAGGCAATAAATTTTTAAAATTTTGATTATTTTAGTATAAAAGAAGGAAAATTCTATATAATAAAAAATTTTTAAACATTATATCTACCTTAAAATTTCATTTCATCGTCTCTTAATAGGTTAAGAAACACATTTTATTAGTATTTACAGCGTAATTCTAGAAAATTGTGTGATCTGTATTCTAAAATCTAAAGCGCGACGTCTAAGTTAAAACAATAAATTTATTACAGTAAAAGTCTTTGTGCTAATATACTGTATATTGCATAGAGAATTAAAGTAAAAAAGGAAAATTAAAGAAAAAAATTTATAAATTATCAAATATATTATTTTGATCGGTGGCTTAGAGATCAGTGTTGTTTCACGTGATCATATTGGGACTGGTTGGGACGGTTTAATTTGTGAAATCTATTTTTAGAAGCGAGGATCCAGTTGTTCGCAGCCGCTTGCTCAGTTGAACGAATTCAAGATAACCCACATGAATATTAGTGATCATGGAATAACAACTATTTGATTTACATTTTTACCGTTTTACTGGTACGTAACTACTGGTCACTTACTTTTTTAATTCAATTTTTATTGATTTTATAAAATGGTTTATAGAACAATAGATTCCCATTTAATATTCGTCTTTGGATCCTAAGAGATTTATATTGCCTGGAAATTCATAAAGGAGCTTGGCAAAATCACACTCCTTCTTTGGATCTTTTGATTTAATAGTTAAAGACTTAACTACAACAAGATTTGGGGTCCTACATTACCTAGTGGAGAAGAATTGCTAAAAGAAATCTTAACAAGGTTCAAATCACACCTTAATTTCCAAAATTCTAGAAAGGGTGACTTAGGCAGACCTCGATGATGACAAATATCTGTTCTGAGATGACAATCGATAATCGGATCCGTAAACTGATTATGCCAGACCAAAATGAATCCCCTGTTTTAACAAGAATATAGTGTATTTGTTATTATTAATGTGAAAAATTTATAAGATTTTTAATCAAAAATTTTCAAATTATATACATTAATTCCACCTACGTCGATATATATTTATCAAATTGAAAAGAAAACCTTCTTACCACATGGCTATATCTAATGTATCTTCTGATAGAGCCGCTGATTATAATTCAAATTCCCAATGCAGAAATTCTTTGTTCAATACGTTCCTTTCTGCAATCAAGCTTTCTTCTCGCTTGTAGTTTTTCTGGACTAAGTACCAGTGGAAGTTTTTCAAAAAAAATCTGATCAAACTACTCACCTTAACGTTGGACCAAAGTCGGTATCATCATTGGTGAAGTTCGAAGAGAATCGATCTCAGTTTATAAGCAATTATATCAAAATGTTGCATAATGTAGCACAATAGAATTTTTAAATATGATGTGTGAATTTTTGGCCAATAAGCTTGCAGAGGGAAATCTTTTGACACTATTGCTATTGCTCTAGACTTATGATATAATATGTTAATTTAGGAGATAATACTTCAATGTCTATTAAAGAAGGATATATCTCAAAAAACGACTTTTCTAATGGCTTTGGTTACAACATATCGTCATCTAGATTTGCATAGATACCAGCTTCGATACTGCATGTGATCATAATAATCACCAAACAATGTGTGATGAGTTGATGATCTTATTCTTAAACACTTTTAGTTGTATGTGTTCAGAGAGCATAAAATGCCGTTGCACATTCAGCTGCAACTTCTAAGCAGAAAATTGAACTAATAGTTATCAGCCGATATCAGGATGGGTTACGGCTTTTTCCTTGATGTCTTATTCTCCGATGAATATAAGAGTTTCATTCTTCTTGATTACAAATTCTTCGAACTCACCTGCTATCCTGGAAAAAGCCCGTTCTATTTCCGGAGGAGCCGAAGTATGGCAAGAGTATATCAATCTGCCCGTCTCACTAGGGACAAAATGATGATAAACATTGAGTTAAGTGCAACCGCTTTCTATAAAGGTGGTCCACTTGTCCAAATTTTGAAAAATATTGGAACTTAGATCTCCTGACGATCTACGTAGGGCCTTTCTGAAAGGGAACATCAAATGGTTGAGAAAACAATCAAAAACCTCAAAATTAAAGTTAAGCATAGAAACGAAGCCCGAACTAGTTACAAGATTGAAAGATTAACACAAACTCTCGCATCTTCAAAAAGTTGCTAATAAATATATTATTGTAGAGTTGTTATTCCCATAATTTCTTTGCATCAAATAATTTGATATATTGTATAGTGTTACGATATCAAAAAGATAGAATATTTTTTACCAACATTACCTACTCATCTGAGCTTGAAGTTTTGAGACAACGTAACGTTGAGCTGGAGGCAAAGATTGCCGAGCATAAAGGTTGAGCGCGAAGAATGGAGTATAAGCGCTTCTTTGTATGAGGAAAGATTGACAAGCTTAAAAAGAAGAATGCTGACCTCTTTACGGAGAATTTTGATCTTAAACGCGAGGTAGCGAATTTCAGGAAGGAACAAGAACTAAAAAATACGGAACTTGAGAATAGACTCGCGAAGGTGGTACAGAGCTTTTCGGTGGATGAGCAGGCTTCTCCGTCAGTGGATGAGCAACCGCAAGTGGGAGATACAGTTATTTTCTTGATCGAGGAACATACGAAAAGCATTAGTGAAGAGATAAGACAGAAAAAGCGAAGTGAACGGGATGCAAAGGAGGCGTCTAAAAAATCTGAGAACACTATGCACGACGAGGATCAATCCAACAACATCAGTCTGGACGCGGATGGGCAACCTGTTAAAGAAGAGAAGTTGGATGCGACGCCTGAAGATGACTCTGCACCCAATGACATAAATACCAAGTCGTCTGAGGAAAAGAAACACCGACGTGAACTATCTTCCCAGGACTTATGCGAAGCGTCTTCTTAAGTTGAAAAATCCCAATCACATAAGAAGAGGGAAGCGGAGAATATTGTACAGGATGTATCCGATTTCACGGCCACTTCGACACCTGAGAAAAATCACATGGTTGAAATTTCCATGACGGCCCGTCATGAAAATCTGATACAGGTAATCCCTCAAATATATTACAAAATTTAGCGTGCTTAATACAAGAAGCATGGGATGCGAAAGATGAAGAAATTCCAAGCTAATCAAAAAGAAATATTGTGTTGGTGCTCCTATATTGTGGAATTCGATAAAAAGACCGCAGAGTTTACGACCGAGTATAAAGTTGGCGAGAAAAAAGCAAAAGGTATGATTTATGACAATCTTATTAAACTCCTTCCTCCTGGTACTAAACGTAACACTTTATTAAAACAAACTCAGAGAGCAAGAGATATATGCAAATTATTTGAGAAAATAGGATTTGATAAAATCAAGTATATCACAACATATACTGCGAATTCTATTCAGAATTATTCGATAGTCAAATTCAGACTATTATTGACTATTTCTCCAAAAATCCCAACATCGAATTACCCGATGATCAGGATGACTCTATTATCGATTTCGAAGATTTCGGATGATCAGACTAATGCATTGGAGGTGCACGTTAGTAAAATTCGGTGTAACAATTTTTTTTTCATATAATTAAATGCGTACCACACTCTTTATTTTTATAATATAGACAAGAACCGGTATTACAGCAAATGCTAGAAGCACGAATTACAAAAACGAGACTAAACTAAACGGATGCGAGTTAATCCAACCCCCCAGCGGAGAGTATAAATTGAAAAATCACGTGAGGATTTCATCTTTCACGGTGCGTCACTGTCGCGTCATTTCTGATTGGACAAATTGTCAAAACTGTCAAAATAAACTGTTGGTTGATCATTTCCTTTTTAGTTCAGCCGGCTGACCAAAATAATCTATAAAACAAAACAAAAAACCGTTAACTGAACCGTTAGTCCGTTACAGAGGTTTACACTTCTTTCTTTACCATGTATGTAGAATTGATGTTATCGCTCATTATACTCTTCATTTCCTTATATTTATATTATAAATAATAATACTGATAAATTCTTTTTTTTTCTTTAGCATAATTTTTTCGGTTTTTTTTATCAGTTTTTTGACAATAACAAAGTAAAAAGCCTTGTTTTTAGCAATATTTTATTTTGTGTGAAGTGACTAAATAAATAATTTAGTATATTAATTGTTATCATCGTTATTTTTTTAGTATGAATACACAATTTATCACTGTTGGTGACATCCGATTATCTATCTTACCTATTAAAGATAGAGCGATGTTATATCAAGATCAATTCGTTGGAGGTGTAAAAGTGCCACACTTTAAGACCTCTACTCGGGTATGTATATAACTCAAACACAAATTTGGATTTAAATAAATATTTAAATAAATAAATTCTTTTAGGAGACAAGCTTGTCGGTAGTTGCCATTGAACTAGCCAATAAGGCTGATAAACCTACAGAAATAATTGAAGATTTCTTATACATATCGGATGCAGTAACTGCTGCAAATAGTAGGTTGTTAGCCGAGAATAAAATTTCACATATCGTCAATATCTCCCCTTGTATAAATTTTTTTGGGCCATCGCGGATAACTTATTGCATTTCACAAAAGTAAGTGATTAAATAATATTTATTTTTATTTTATCTTTTTTTTTTTTATTAAATTTTTTTTTTTAATTAGGTACCCCGATTGGAAACCTAAATACCTAAGGCTGTACGTTTCAGACGATCCAAAAGGAAAAATATCGAAGTTTTTTGAAGTAAGTATACTTTATAATTTTTAATAATTATATGAATATTCTTGTTTGGATGAAAATAATAATTAATTTTTATAAAATTTATAGGTTTCAAATGCTTTTATACATGAAGCAAATCAAGAAGGTGGACGTGTCCTAATTCACTGTTGGGCGGGTGTATCCCGCTCAGCTACCTTGGTTTTGGCTTATCTATTGAAGCAAGGGCTCACTTATCTTGACGCTTTTAATCATTTAAAAAAAAGAAGATCGATAATAGAACCCAACTCAGGGTTCTGTCTTCAATTAACTAAATATGAAATAGAATTGTTAAAAGCTCAAGGGATTCCAGTAAGTAAATAAATTTATTATGATTTGTTATTATAATCTTTAAATAATCTTTAAATAATATATGTAAAAATAAATACTAGATCAATGGCAATACCGGAAACAAAAGAAAGTATACCGAGTATGAAGTTGTTATAAACGCTGATGATAACGATGATAACAGCAGGATCATTAAAAGAAGAAAACTAAAGAGAGTTTAAATGACTTTCTTTCTCTTTAATATTCAATAAATTTTACACTTTGCCGATAAAGTACGATGAATATACCCTATATAGATATGCTTTCGTCTTTCAGATAGTATTAATTATAGAAGTCCATAGAAATACGGATGATCTTGATAGTACATCAGCTCCTTCACGTCCAGGATCAAGAGATTTAAATATATTAGCTTCTTTACATTTGATTAATGCATTTGCTTCGCCTACACTTCCACTATGTTTTAATAACATGGATACGATCTTTCAGCTTACCATTTGGCTATGTGCAAATCCAAATGTTCTTCAATTTGCTAATGATATATATTCATTCATCAATGCAAACGTCACTCGCAAATGGGCAACAGATTACGCCATCAAATTTAGCAAATCTAACAACATTAATGACTAAAAATTTAGTAGTGCCATCTAGAAATGACCGAAACTTCGCTAATAATTATAAAAATTGGGTTGGATATAACGTTTTTATTAAATATAGCGAATTTTATTATAATACTGTTTTATTATTTGCGTTTTTATCAGTCATTTCGATTACAATGTATTATTACAATGAAAATTGCTATTACAATTATTACAATAATTAAATAAAATCTGATTTATCTATCAAATAAATAAATAATAAGCTTCGTTGAATAATATCTAATAATTCGACAAAACATCTTTAATTTTTTCGCCTAATCTCCTACTTTAGCCACTAATTTATTAATACTTTTATTACTTATTTCGAAACTATTTATTGACGATAAGTTGGCAAATTTTTTGCAAAGTAACTATAAGATAATTATCGGTTGTTACTATCCCTTAAACTGTTTTGCAGCCAAATTTGCCTACAATTTTGTTTTTTAATTAAAGAAACTTTTAAATACCTTAAAATATTTTATTACATAAACCAATATTTTTGTAATAAATTCTTTAGTATTTTCTAAGTAAAAATCGAAAAAAAAAGTTCAATTTGATTAATGGGGTTTTTTAAAAGTAAATGATCGACAAATTATAACAAATAGTAGCTAAATTTTTTAAATTGAAATATTTTTTTATCTATTAACCCTAGAAATATAAAATTACCACCATTTGATGCGTCTTAATGAGAAGAATCTGATAGAATAAAATTGTCCTTCTACAAATATTATGTGATAGGATAACTTATAAAATCTAAAATTTTATATATTAATATAACCTTTTATTTATCAATTTTAGAGTTATTATTTTATTACCATTAAATGCGCCTTAATAAGAGGAATCTAACAAATATAATTTCATCTTTCTATGATCACTAGATCTCAAGATATTTTAAAAATTCAAAAATTTTTAAAATAATTAACCTAATTTAACCACATCGACAACCCCGGATATTTATCATGTCACCTTTTCATCCCCCAAAAAATTTCCCGATCATGACATTAATTAAAGATCGTTTATATGAATTCGTACAATTTTACTTAATATATCTATTTAAATAATAAATAATTATCTATTCTAAAAGATAAAATATAGGAACCTTTCAAATACCTGGCTGTATCTCCTAATGATTTAAACATTTTTAAATTTGATGAAAAAAGCTACATCATCATTTACAATCTATAATTGGCGCTAGAGTATTGAATTGATATTGTGCATGTTAAGAGATAAGCACCTGTCACAGCACTTCTTGTTGCTTTCTTAGTATGTTCTTGCTTCCTACTCTGAAGCAAACTTGTTCAAAGATTGAGTATAAAAAAATAAATATGCATTGGTCATTCTTTAAAGTATTTGTTCCTATAATTGAAATTCAGTATTTGACCCAAATGATAGATGATGTAGTTCAAGTTGTGAAGCAATTTCTATAATAAATTTAAAAGGCAATTTAGAAGTTAAAACAATTACTACTAATGAACATAGTTGTCCTGGAAAATCTGCGGACACGAATATTAAAAATTTTTGAGATACCCTTCGTCCGGTGTTTCTTGAAATTTCTGTTTCTTTTGTTTGTTTGACTTTTGACTTGATGGGTGACAATTTGCTAGTCGACTTATTGGTCTTGTCACTTGGTTCATTCGGATTACATACTTTCGTTCTGTCTTGTTGACGCTTAGTTAAAGTAATCCATAAATAATACAACAAATCTTTATAGCATTAAAATCTATCTTTCTCATCGATTCGAAATTCTCCTGTGGCTCTGATTCTTTGCTTGATAAGTTATTCTCTTTTGTGTCTGTTTCTAAATGATGGGCCCTAGATTCCATCGGGTTTTCATATGTTCAATATCTAATTCATATTCCTATTAAACTCCTATATGATTGCGTTTTTGGCCGATTTATCAAACGTAAAGACCCCCGCTTATTGATTAATTTTTCGCCTCTTTCAATTGATTTTTAATCTCCTCTTCTTTCTTCCTCTATTGCTCCTCAAAATTAATGCTTATCGTATGCAATCTAAAACAAAGATCAACGCGTTTTCTGTGAATAAAAATTTTTCCAATGGCTTTTAATCCACGTTTTTAACTTCTGAATTTCAGTAGTGTAATCTCTAAAAATATTGCCATATTTCTTTTGCCCCTCTATTTATTTTTTTTTTCCTTTGTATTAATAAAATAAGGTAGTTGAGCAATTCTCAACAAATCATAAACAGTACAACATAGCGATACAAAACTCTAGCTTCGGATAATAATACCTTTTGCCCTTACGCGAAATTGTAATGAGATTATCAGTTTAATTGAAATATTTTTACGCCACTCGGAGATATCATCACACCAAAATGTGGAGTGCCGAGTAGCACATGCTCATCTGGTAACCTTTCGAGCGCAGTGAATGCGAGCAATCTTGTAATTAAGAAGAGTTCCCTCTTATATTCATTAGAAATTAGACCGTCGATGGTTTCTTAAGGACAAAGCCATATCTAATCTTGGTTAGAAGTTGAATGCGCAACAGCAACTTAGAATCATACAACTAAAGTGTATCCCTGAGCTGTGTCACTGTGTGTTTGTGGTTTAGAACATCATTTCGATCAAATCTATGTTGTAACTAAAACCGTGAGAAATTCCATTTTCCCTTCCATTTTCTCTAACAGATATTTGAAGTATTATTTCCTAAATTAATACAATCTAATGAGGGGTTTGCATCAATAATATCATCAGAAGACAGGTTTTCTTTGTGTATTTGCCAGCACTGCTTTAACAACAGTCATTGTAGTGATATATTAGCGGATTTTCATACGCTGCTGTCTAACATCCGCCATATCATGAATCTCTCATAATCGTAAAGCGATATATAGCAATAGTGTTGAAAATTTTTCTCTCTGACGATTAAATATCTTTCAAACTATACCAATTATAACATATTCTGAAAAATAATATCCTGACACATATCTGATCTTGTATTTTCGAAAAGGCAAGCGAAAGACTTTAGTTGGGTTGCAGAAAGGATGTACTGAAAAGACATCCCTGCGTTGAGAATCTCCTTATACTGAACTAGAATCGACAGTTCTACCAGAAGAGGGAAGCTATGAAGCTAGTATTTATTGTCGAGGCCTTGAACCGAATCATTATTTGCCAGGACATGTGAATTAAGACACATGGGGCATTCCCAGAAATTCATTTGGGTCATGCTTGTAGAAAAGTATTAGTCATTCCTAAAAACGGGTCTGGTAGTATCTTGAATATAGAACTCAAATGCTAGGATCTTTTAATTTAGAATATCTAAAAGATTGGCACCAAAGAATCGGAGATCCAAAGGGAGAGAAAGAACGTGAAGAAGTACGTATGTTGATGGATTTGTTGTGTGTGATTTTAATGTCGATGTCGGTGTTACATAATTTGGTATTATTCGCTAGTATTTCATACTTGTTATGGTTGATAATAATATTGGCCATCTCGTAAAACGAGTTGGCGATTTGTAGGTTAGTTTCCAGTCGCGGTCAAGAGTGCATTCAATAAAAATTGAATTGAAAAGTAAATAACGCGTGTTAAAAGATCTAATAAATTTCTCGGTAGAGATCAAGCGTAAAACTGTGAATCAAAGAAACATTATTGTTGTGTTAATTCACTAAATATTCAGGTGAATAATCTTTGTCAATTTTACCTCTAATTTTCTTAAGCGAATTGTTAATATTGCCGTGATTTTGTGGTGATAATTTTTTTGAAAGATCTGGCATCGATGCATTACTATTATTTAGCAAAGAATAATGATGTCGAGGTGTTAAAGGAGTAGATTATGATTCTGCTGATGATAAATATATTGTTTTTCTTGATCATGAGCGTAACTTCGTCTCTTTCTCAGTAGGCGACGTCTTTGTCCTTTGCCGTTTCTGCGTCCACTTACGTTCTGTCTGGAATTACGGCTGGTTGTTCCGAAGACGAGACAAACGCATTCGCTCAATGTCGTCTTCTTACAAGCTCAAAAGATGGTTGGCGATCGAAAATTAGAGGCAAGTGGTTTGAAACTTTGAATGTTTAACGACAAAGTTCGAGAAGTTTTGAACTTTACGCGACATGGGAGTGTCGATCAACCGATCACTAGATCATTAGATTTATATTTAAACTATGAGCTAAAGTTGAATTTCTTAATTTAAAAATTTAAATTTAAGTCCTTTCATTTCTTTCGTTACAACTCACAAAATTATACTCGTCGCCAATTATTATTATATTCGGTATTGAAATTTATTTAAATTAATAGAGCATTTTTTCAAATTTTTTTTTTTAATACTAGATAGTATTAAATTTACTTATTTATCATTCATTGTATTTTATTTTCGATATTTTTTTCCGAATTTATAAATAATAGACAAACGAAATCATTAATTCCAATTAAATTTCAATTTCGTTCAAACTAGAATGTTAACAATAAAAGTCTTATTTCAGAATACTTTGAAGTTTGAAATTGGCCACGATCTTCGTTCTTACAGCAAAATAGCAAACACCACTTACTGAAATGGATAAAATTTTACTTAAAGCCACGACGGATAATGGCCCTTTCCACTTCATACTTGCTGTTCAAAAGTATGGATTTTTTTCTGAGAATGTAAGACTTCTAAGAATTTTGCATAGATAGGATTTTCACAGTATTATTGATAAAGACTGACCGCATCTTCTCAATTTTATCAGAAGTTCACAATACTCTCCTATCGACGACCTTTACCTTAGTAGAGTGGGCGTAAGTATTAAAAGTATGAGTATTGATTAGAAATATTTAAAATATTTTTATTAATATATATTATATTCTCTTTATATTCAGAGGTGAAAAAAAAAATTTATCAATAACCATAAATTTTTCTTGATCGATTGGCGATTGGCGATAACACTTTATATTCCGAAACTTGATAAATAATAATTTATACCTGATTATTTTGGCATAGTCTATCATTTTATATATCAGTTATTATTATGTAGGAATTCTTCTACGTTTAACATGCAAAAGGTGGAACCATATTGTGATCAGTTTAATAAGTCATGCTTATTTTGACATTGTAAATAGAACAACGACAACATTTAAGAAAAATCATGTGAACTATTAAATGAAATAATAAATTGTATTACTGTAATCAGCAATACTTGATGGATGACATCAATAATTCTTGTTTCTCCATCATGAAGAAAGCAACAAAACTAACACAAGAAAGAAACACGTCAAGAATAAATAGAAAGATTATAACAAATTTATAAATCCCGTACGATGAATAGATTAAAGATGTATATCAATTATAATTTTATTGGATCACTTTGTTGGATGATTACAACTCTTTTTACTTTACAAATTTTCCTTTTTTTTTTTAAGTTTAGCTTTATCGTTATAGTGGTAGTTAATCCCTTTTTTTGTCGTTCCGATAATACAACTCAATAAATGTAAAATTTATTTAATAAAGTTCCGTTTTTGCTCATGATAAAGTAACATCCTTCAGTTGTATTTATTGCTGTTATTAAAAATTTAACGATCCAAGTGATAAAAAAAAGTGAATTGACAAATCTAGAAGTATAAATATATGATTTTTTGGTCTTCAAACTCTTCTCGGGTGCCTCAATCTTTATGCAGTAAATTAAACTTCAGCCACCTATCCTCCTGGGTATTCTGTCCCTCAAGGTTCTCATGTTCGTGTCGAATGGTTAATGACAGAGCACACGCATGCTCTCTTTCATGCTATCAGTAAGCTAGGAAAAAGAATAATATCACTGTAATATTTAATGATACGTTTCAAAATTGATTGAAATGAGAATCAAAATACAACGTGAAACGTTCTCATAATTAAAGAAATCCGTGAGCCAGTGATTTTTCAATTTTCTAAAAAATTTTTATAGGGAAATTAATGAGCTGAAAGGTGATATTTGTAACGGTATGAAGTTATTTCATTATCTAACCGCCAGAACTCTCGCGATGAATCAAGCACCATCAAGCGCTTTCCAAAATTTTCGAGACGTTGAAGACTGAATTTTAAATAAAATTTGTATCATTTCCATCTCGTCCAAGAGTTAGTTAGTTATACTCCACCAAACCGATCACCTCCTGGAAAGATTTATACTGTACATCATAAGAAGTTGAGAGAATATTAAACTGTCAAGTTAAATTTGTATTAAGAATGATTTGATCTTGTAAAATTATGATTAATTGGGTGTGCTCATGAATTGCCAATTGAGTTAGTTGTTGGGTCAACGAACGAAAATTCTCATTGAAAATCTTAAATGATAACTCACATTAGCTGTTAGATTTTTTTTTTGCTGATCATTGATACCATTCGCACATTAGATTAACGCGATATACAGATTGGGTATACAATCAAAACATCTCACCGTGATTTTTTGGAAATTTTTTTTTTTATTCACCTCGATGACCTTCGTATATTTAATATGTGCAGGTCACAAAGGTATAAGGAGTGTTAAAGATGTTATTGGTTTTCTTTTTCGCTTGGCCATAAATTTCACTTTAACAATCAACATAGGTATGTTGTTTTAAAATTTCTTTTCGGATCTTATTTATGTGATCTTTTTTTCAATTCAGAAATTTCTTTCATAATTCATCACAAAATTTGCTAAATAATAATTTGAATCAGTAATTTAGGACAAATGATTCATCAGGGAGAAATAAATGTAGTATACTGTATAATGTATACTATATTATATTTAAAGGCCCAATTCAATCCTTCCACAACCAAGACTTGATAATACTCGCTCACATCCAGCTGCATGAGGTGTGATGGAAAAGAGTTTTTAAAAGTGCTAATTGAACTACTAGGTAATTTTCATTCTTTAGGAAAGTTATCTTCAATTGAAACCACCAAGTATATGGAGTTTCAGTATCACCTATTTTGATATCAAAAGGTTTTTCTCGTTTACGATATTGTTTCATTAATAATTCTTTACGTTCAGCTTTTTTTTCCCAAATTTCATCTGCTAATAAATCTCTTAAAAAAGTACTCGTGCCCTGCAAATTTCTAAAATAATAAATCATATGAAATAATTCATATTACGTTACTATTTTATCTATTACTATAATCATTAGAAAATACATAATTCGAAATAATATAATTATGTAATTCATTATTAAATACAAATTGTGTTATAATATACTTTGTTTTTTTTTTAAAAAAAAAAACTTATTGTATTCTTAATTACTGTTATTATAAAAATTACAGATAAGATGCGTGTCTAAAATATATATATATATTTTTTCTTTATGATCAAAACTTACCAGTATAATACGGATGTAAAAAAAAGCATAATAAATATATTGGGTCAGCAAATTCAGCGTAATGACGGTTAAAAATTGAAATACACTGCTGGCGATAATCACCATAAAGTAATTTTTCAAGTCCAAGAAAACAAATTGAGATTGTATAATAACTTGTATGAATGCAGTATAATCAGCCATCAGGTATACAAGTGACCCATCCAATGTTTTGATAATAGAAAAGTTTTTTTTTTATATTTCATTCTATTTTATGGAATCTTATTTTAAACTTATTATATAATTTAAATTAAACGAGAAAAAAAAAATCGCAGTAGTATAAGGAATTGTTTCCAGGTATGGTTATTTTTATATATATCACTATAAACAGGAATTTATAAAAAGCTTAATTTAAACTCGTCAAATCACAGAAATATACATCGGTTTATTTGTTTTTCCTCTCAAGGTTTAGTATTAAACTTCTAAACATGTATAGGCACCGATTTGGCTACATTATAAATAGACCCGTAGTAAAACTCCATTAAAAATACTTCAAATTAAAAATTATTTAAAAATGAATCTCAAACAACACTTGCACACACACATTCCTCCCATATAATTACACGATTCTAATCTAAATTATTTAATATTATACGTTTACTTTATAAATAAGAAATTATTGATTAATATCGGTCAATTTACTTTTAATAAATCGTGCCAAAATTTCCTTATATTGATCGTATTATTCGTATATTATAAAATTCAATACTTTATGCCATCAAAAATTCTTCTTTGTAAAATAATATTATTAGTTAAATAAAATAAATCGTAGTTAATCGGTTAATCGACCGTTCATTTGTCGTTGTACGATTTATTGTCAATTATTGTACAAAAAACTGAATTCAGTAACAATGAATAAACATATAAAGAATTTAATTGATGATGATTACATGATTATTTGTCTATTTTTTTATTTGTGTAAAATCTTGGATAATTAGTTATAACCCAAAGGCATAAAATTTTTAAGTTTAATTTTGATAGCGTGATAAGAAATTTTTTATCTATTTTTAGTAAATATTTACTGTATATCATCAGTCTTTCAAAAAAAATTGTTCCATTTTTTTCATTGGTTCATCCCGTGAATATTCTATTTCGACTCAGGTTCAACTTAGAAGAATCAACTCATAAAAATCATAAAAATCAACTCATAAGAATCAATTACGGGACGCGTCGCTTATTACACAGCATCCCCTTATGGCTTTGATTGTTCTCAACCAGTTTATTTATTGATTTATGGCTGAAACTGGTTTGATTAGGTCTAGATTTCTCAATTATTTACTTTATTCTTTAATCTATACTGTAATACAAAGAGATTGCGAAGTAAAATTGGGGAGAAAAATTGGTTCACAATAAGAATTCTTGAATTTACCTTATTAGAGGCTTTTTTGCTTCTGAGAAAAATAAAAAGCCGACCATATGGATAATGTCAATGCGTGAATATCAACAAGAAATAAAAAAAAAAGGCTGGAAATTTTCAATCGGATAATTTTATTTTCTCGGATATCCGGATGATTGCACCATTATAGTAGTGGCGCAACAATTACGATATCCGGATAACGGTTCTATCCTGTTCTATCCAGATCATAATTATTAATTTATGATTGAATTTTTTTATTAATATTATTTTTTACGTTTAGTACTACGTTTTTTTTAATTAAAAAAGTTGCATACGCCTCACGTCGCGCAATTTGTTATTACATGTGTTACAAAGTATTTATGGTGATTTACTGAATTAGGATCGTGTTTTGTTGCGAAGAATTTTTTGATTCACTTAATACGAAACACGATCCTAATTCAGTAAATCGTTCACAACAAAACAATCTAAAATTCTTCACAACAAAACACGAAAACATGAAACACGGTCCTAATTCAGTAAATCACCATACGCTAATCATCGAAAGATTTTTGCTGAGCCACAATGCATGTACTCCGTTGCAATTTTGTATATAAATAGAGGTCTTGGTCGTCCCTCTAGAATGCATCTAAATGTAACAGCAATCATGTATTTCTGTTGATATACCAAAGATAATTCTTTTTATCACTTTACAGAATCTGTTGCTACAAATGCGTCATTAAATTGTATACTCCTAAGGTAATTTATGATAAAAAATTATTTACCATCAATGACTTCCTTTTCTTTTGAAATGTCGTAAATTAATCGAATGTACAAAATCTATCGTAATCAAAGAGTTTTGTGACAACAGACTAACCAATGAAACTGAATCGAAAGTTATTATGTCAACCTTTGAGAGTAAATTACGAAACTTGTCTATTCGAAATGGGAATGGGAATAATGTTAGTGATGAATACTATAATATCTCTTTGGAAAAGGATCATTCAATTACCTTTTCTGAACTTGGTCGAGACGCAATAACAATTTTAATAAAGCTGTGACATTACTGATAGGAACAAGAGTGTAATGCACATGTTTCATGCCTTATTTCGTGAAATTCAAGATCACGTAAACATCGTACCAATTGCTAAGCTTATTACCGATGTTGTCATTAATTGTTGGTCGAATAATTGGAACATCATCATATTTATTACTTCGGAACCTATACTTGGAAAAAAACGATTATTTAAATCATAATTAAATTAAACGAACAATGCGATATTATGAATCGTTTTAGATTGCTTTATTGTAATAAATGCATCATCCGGCAAAGAATCAAATGTTAGTCCTTGAATGAACGAGGCATCGCATTCACCGCGTAGTAATCGGGAGAAGGAAGACGAAGGAAATCGGAGAAGAAAGAAACCGGAAGGCACAATTAAAAAAAGATCTAATGTTGGCGGGCGGAACTCGCGCCTATAAAAATCTTATGATCCTTCAAGGTAATTTGTGATAAAAAATTATTTACTATCAATGACTTCTTTTTCTTTTGAAATGTCGTCTTTCATGGTAATTTGATAAAAAATTATTTACTAAAAGATCAATGGCTTCTTTTTCTTTTGTTAGAATATTCAGAAATTCTTTCAACACACTTTGGGGTTTTGCCTTTTACAATACTGTAGTCTTATGGATTCGAAATATCACGAGGAATACGAAAAGGCTTCTGCGTGCATTTTAAAGGCACTATATTTTTGCGGCGCGTTCCGCTCACCTACATTAAATTTTCTTTTAATTAAATTTTCTGTTTTCTTTCCTCTCCGATTTTCTTCATCTTTTTTTTCTCATGACGATAAATGATTTTTTTTTTTAATTTTACTTGTATTTTTTTATTTTTTTTTGGAATAAATTTATCATTAGATCAATATGAGTAAAGTCTGACTTCGATGAATATACATAGGATTTTTAGAAGCAAATATTAACATCAAAAAAAAAGAAAAAATATGAACTAAATATTAAACCCAGAATTTTATTCATATTAAAAAATATGTAAAAGAATAAATCTGTTATATATTATAATAAAACGTTTTTCATAAAAAATTGTATTTATTGTTAAGACCTATAAAATTATCGAGAATTGGACCAGAAATTCTAAAAAGCAGATCATATAGAGATAAAGCAATCTAGTAATCTACCCATGCGTGATATACCACTTACAACCAACAGGGTGGACATCCTTATATCACCTTGCCGATCATTTGCCGATCATATAGTAATTTGGTGATATCAGACTTTAAGGCTTCGGGCGAAGCCACAGAAGTTCTGGCGAAACTTGAAACTTTTATGGGTTATAGATTAACAGCTTTAGAATTAATGGCCAAAGTAACACAGTAAAATTTTAGGTAACACAAAAGTTATGGCCGAAATTATACTGGCAATCATATTGTTATAATTTATATAATAAATAGAAGTTTTTAAAATATCATTTCTCAATCAATTTTGTGTAAATATTTATGAACTTATAATCAAAATGTTCGTCTTGATTTGACGAATTCAACAAGCCATAAAACATTAAATTCTGATCACTGGCTGCTGCAGTATCATCAAATTACTTTTAATTTTTCTAATTATATGATGTAATTTTGGCTAATTTTGACCATTTTGACCCTCAAGATGATCAATTCAAATTATTTTAGTTTTATGTATAACAGAATTTGCAAAAAAACCCATAATAGTGATAATATCGAATAGATAATTAACAAATGATCGGCAAAATGATCTGCAAAAATGTGATAATATGAGGATGTCCGCCCTGTTCTTACAACCAAGGTGGCAAAAAGATCTCCATAGGATTTGAAAAAGTAAATCTGTAAATTAAAAGAAAGGAAGTTATTTTAAAATAAAAACAACAGTCACTGTTGATTACTGATTTAACGCTCCACAAGATATATAAATAACGCACATGATACATTATCATAACTGTAAGGATTCTCAAACTGTAATATCGGTGTTGCTTAGATTTCGGCTTATACATTGGATTTACTACTTTGTTAGCGTGTTCAGTTCGAAAAGCATATTTTTTGGCTGAAGATATAAACAATCGTGAAAAATTTAGAAAGTCTAAATGATAAGAATTTTATATTAATTTTTTTAAAAAAATTCAAAGTTCATCGAATTAATATTTATCATTGGCAGCGTCCCCAGCAGATAATGAATCAATTTCGTCCTTTGTTCGATATTGATTGCAAACTAAAAGAAAAAGAATTGATGCATTGACTAGTGAGGGCATAATGATAAAAAAAAAATTGTTATTCAAAGGAAGATGTTCTAATGTAGAAGAAAAAAAAATATACAAAGAAGATTCATAGGAAAAATCGGATATAACAATCACATAAAAAGAAACCCAAGTCATTTAATGATAATTGACGATGTCATACTGTTAAGAATTCATCACTGGGTATGAACAGTAAGAGCAACATGAATAACAATCACGCGGTTTTGATGCTTGAGCTATAATTTACACTTTGTTAGTATAATAAAGAAGGTATAATTTCATGAAAAATAATTTTCTCGATATTATTAATATATTAAAAAGTGATGTGTTGAATAAAGATCTTCAACGTCATTACACAGAAAGCAAATATCTTTTGAATCAAATGTCTTTAAAAGAGATTAAAGAAAATGAAAAAGTTATTCAATGTGATTTCCCTTTCTATAGCGAATTTTGATATAACGAATTTCAAATCTTTATTGTGGTACGCATTTAATCATGTGAAAAAAAAATTGTTACACCGAATTTTACTAATAAAATGCAGTATAACGTTGAACGAAGAAAAACTTATAAATTCACGGATGTAAGTGACCCCTTTTATAACGAATTTCTTTTTAAACGTTTAATATGACAGATTTTTGCAAGATAAATTTTAATATAAAGGGCAGTTTGATGCTGGTTTTATAGAATTTTTCTCAAATAAGCAATTTACCACTTTTAATTCAATTTATCAAAAGATGGATGATTTATGTTTCGAAGTTTCCTTTGCCACGTTCTACAAATGGTTTGATTTTCCTCTATTTTACTGCATTATACCAAATTTTTTTGCTATACCGAATAATTCGTTATAGCATTAACGAATTTTCTCATAACGAAGGCCTGACCAGCCCGGACGCCTACTTCGTTATATCGAGGGCTGGCTGTACTTTCTAAATAGGGTATACACTATTTCTGTGATCTATTACATAGTCGGAATCTTTGATTTATGCATGATAAAATTTTAACAATTGATTTGATACAGCTTTGATTTCCGATACAATTACACCTAACGGCCGACTCAGATTTGCCAACATAAATCGGAAATCGGAACATAGCAAATCTATAATAATCATTGTATTAGTCAAACCACCAGACATCTAATTAATATATTTGGTAANTGTTGTTTTTGACATTTATAATTTTTTTTATTCTATTCAATCGTTTGTACATACTATTCATTCATACATAATAATCATTCATACTATTTATTCTTCTTTTCATCATAGCTATGGTTCAACTTTATGCAGATATTCTCTTATTGATTATGCTCGAATTACAAGATGATATTTCATCTTTACATTCTTGCATCCTTGTAAATAGATCCTGGTCTCGGATAGCCATACCTTTCACACCTAACGGCCAACTCAGAATTTGCCAATATAAATCGGAAATCGGAACATAGCAAATCTATCATAATCATTGTATTAGTCAAACCACCAGACATCTAAATTAACATATTTGGTAACAATAAGAACTTTTTTTTTTATACGTATTTTGTTGTTTTGACATTTATAATTTTTTTCATTATATTCAATCGTTTATACATACTGCTCATTCATACATAATAATCATTTATACTATTTATTCTTCTTTTCATCATAGCTATGGTTCAACTTTACGCAGATATTCTTTATTGGTTATGCTCGAATTACAAGATGATATTTCATCTTTACATTCTTGCGTCCTTGTGAATAGATCCTGGTCTCGGATAGCCATACCTTTCACACCTAACGGCCGACTCGGAATTTGCCAATATAAATCGGAAATCGGAACATAGCAAATCTATAATAATCATTGTATTAGTCAAACCACCAGACATCTAAATTAACATATTTGGTAACAATAAGAATTTTTTTTTTTATATGTATTTTGTTGTTTTTGACATTTATAATTTTTTTCATTCTATTCAATCGTTTATACATACTATTCATTCATACATAATAATCATTCATACTATTTATTCTTCTTTTCATCATAGCTATGGTTCAACTTTATGCAGATATTCTTATATTGATTATGCTCGAATTACAAGATGATATTTCTTCTTTACATTCTTGCGTCCTTGTGAAAAGCTTTAAAAGCAGGCGGAAGTTGGCTAACAAAGGAACGCCGATTGGCTAAGAATTTATTTGTAGATCCTGGTCTCAGATAGCAGTACTTTTCCTATGGAAATATATATCTCAAATCAATGGAATTACAGTAATTATGTGAAGGACTTTCTACAGTCAACGCTCGTTATAGTGAAGCTCGTTATGGTAAATTTGCTTATAGTGAACTTTTTTTATTCCCCCGGTTCACTTACTAATAAATCTTATTCGTTATAGTAAACTTACTTAGACTGGAGCCTTTAGTCGAATACATAAATTTCAGGCGGGCCAAATACGGAGTTTTGGGATGGAGGTGATATAGTAAACTTTTTAAAAATTTTATATAGAACGTATATTATAAAGTTTATATTCGTTTAGTGAATATCATGTGAAATCATTAGGTATATTGTTCACGAATCACTTTAAACACAAAATTAGGATTGGTATTCCACTTTATTATTGATATTATATGTATAAGGAATTAAATTTACAAGATCATACTATGAAATGCCAATAGAACTATTATCAGATAAAGAAATTATAAATAATTCATTGGTCTAAATATACACAGAATTGGAAATTCTTAAAGGCTTTAAAATCAAAAATTAAATACTTTTGTTAAAAGAAACTTTTTATTGTATTAATATAAGGTTCACTATAAAGAAATCTTTCGTTTTTGTGAATTCGTTATAGTGAACGAAAATGGTTGTAAGTAAGTTGGAACCGAGGGTTCACTATAACGAGCTTTGACTGTTTATTGTTATGCATTAGTCGAATTGATAAAAATTTGGTTCTCAAGGTCTATTACTGCTTTTGGTAAAGTCAGACCTTGGCCCACGCAAGAGAAAATGGAAATTGCAAGCGAGAGCAACTTCCGGTTTTGCTTTCCCACATACGTCTAAACTAAAATAACTGCAGGTAAAGGAGGCTTCTTTTTATATAAAATATCTGTTATTGTCTTACCCCATTTATAAGTCCAGCATTCTGCATAATAATATTTCAGCTTCAATTCCTTTTGCAATTTCGGAATCGGCCTATGCTAAACACCAACCTGGGTGATTATATGGAGGTTTGACTGTACTTAGAGATTCGGAGGGAGAGAAAGAGAACACTTTGTCCTCCTCAAAGTAGAGAGGTATGAACAACAAGTGCATTTGCCGCTGAACTTGTTATATTTTACGCCAATATAAGAGGTATAATAAATATTTTTTGATATATATATATATACATAATATAATTACCTAATATATTTTTATTTTTTTTAAATAAATTTCGTTAGAATACGCTGATTGCGGGCGGTACTCTTAGTGTCAAGATTTGTGATATATAAGAGGTATAATGAATTCTTTTAAATATTTTTGATATAGATATATACATAATATAATTACCTTTAAATTTTTTTAAAAAATAAACTTCGTTAGAATACGCTGATGGCGGTTCTCTTAATGTATATAAGAGGTATAATGAATTCTTTTAAATATTTTTGATATATATATACACAAAATATAATTACCTTAGACCTAAAATAATTTTTTTTTAAATAAACTTCGCTAGAATACGCTGATGGCGGTACTTTTAATGTCAAGATTTGAGGGTGATTATATGGAGGTTTGTACTTAGATCTTGAGGGAAAGTTCTTGCGGTATGGACAAATCCGCAGCTTCACAGCCAACGATAAATTGGATGCAAATACCGCGGATAAGAACCATCAGAGGAATAGGAGCATCTGAAATAAATCGTAAAAGAAAAGAAAGACCATTTGAAAATGAAAATGATCCATACTTCCATGGATCATGTTGACGTTAATTATAATTTCTGCGTGGAATTTCTACCTCAAGAATTAGGACTCTATATGAGAGGTATAATGAATTCTTTTAAATATTTTTGATATATATATATATACAGACCTAAAATAATTTTTTTTTTTTAAATAAACTTCTGATGATGGTACTCTTAGTGTCAAGAAAGATGATTTGGTAAATTTCGTTTGTTTTACATTCTTATTTTTCTTATTTTATATTGTTATATTGTTATTATATTATAATTTTAATATTTGTTATTTATTGCATCTGATAATAGCACTACAATATTATGATGTTAATTCATCAAAATATTAAATTAGCAAATCTTGGTTTGTCCAATCTTCCCAATAAGTATGCATTAGTGTACTATTATGGGAAATATCCAGTGGACATTTCCCGTTAAAAATGCTTTTATTTGGAGACACCTGTTCCTAATACACCTGAAGATTATGTAAAATTTATACCGGTAAATATAATATAATCTTAATTATAATCTACGAATTATTTATTCTCTAATTGGTTAAATTATAAATGTGCTTACACACACATATACTTTATATTTATTTACTTATATATCTCTTCCTGTCATCATTTATGAACAGAATCCACAAATTCTTGTTATACTGCAAAGGACAACGTGATGAAAGGAGATTCTCGCGAACGATTCTATACCTGAATTACAACCTGGAGACATGTCAATGGAAATTCAATCAAATGTTCATGGATTTAAGGAAAAAGCAGTCGAATTACTTCTTTCTAATTGCTTTTTTCTATATCATAAATGGCTTGCCGCCATACTCACAAATGCGGGCTCTGAGCATATTACATGAAGCGTTATAGTTGATTAGTTGATCTAACAGGGATGAAATGAAGTGGAAAATTTTATAATCCAATACAATATCGTTTTTATGTATGAGAGGGAGAAGGAATTGTGAAATACATGAACGAAGGCAATCTATAGGTGTATGCGGGAAGTCGATCAACAAATTAAGTAAATTAGAAATTTAATAAATTTAATGAATTTATTTTATTTTTTATTTTTAAATAAAAATCTTTTGAAATATTTAATCACGTGAAAGTACATGTATAAATTCTACATAACGTGGTGTCGACGTGTCGTGGACCATGGTGGCAGTGTGTCGGTTAAATGTGGATGAGTATTTTTTTTTCAACTTGAACACGCTTATGGATATGTTTCATCTGGCAATTTTAATTATCAGCAACTAAATCTAAAAGTTTCATTGCATCATTTAAGATTCCTCGTGGATATACCATTATCTCCAATGTCAGTTTTAAATATCGAGGGTGAGTCTTTAATTTGTTTTTAATTAATTTTAATTAATTTATTTTTATTTTTTTTTTAACTTGGAGGTTTCATATTCAAATTTATTTTATCCACTTCTTCCTATGTTGTTATAACATTGATGAATTCTGAAGAAGTTTTTCTTTCTGATTCAGGAATATTTTCTGGAATTCGCGTCATCCAATCGGATCGTGTAGACTTTCCATCATATTGATAGATCAATCCATGAAAGAATGTGATTCTCTGTGAGGCTAAGAAGGTCTCTATAACGAACGTGTAGGAGGACTTTTATACGACAAAATTCCTCCCACTGGGGACCATTTCGAATGGGAGGTGGACGTGGCTAAATACGTACAATGTTTTCACCAGAGCATTCTACCCAGTTGCCTTTTACTAATTTATATTGCTGATCCAATTTGAACAATGAAAGTTCCCCAAGTTCGGCCGATATCTTTGTAGAGGTGAGAGATCTATTTCCATTGTTCTCATCATTTTCATTACTATCACGAAGCTGTCGATTCGCTTCTTTGTTAAGTTTTAGACTAACAAAATTTCGGCTACTATGATAGAGCGGTAATTGAAGATGATGACAAGTTTCTTGCACCGAAAAATCACGTTCTTTGACTGTGCGAATGAGAAATGCTTTAACAGCTGGATCATTGGGTTATCATTAGAGCTTCGTCCAACACTTCTGAAAAGGCTAAGGGCCCTAAGGACCGTGGTTTTGCTTCACTAGCATACTTAGAAACATACTGTAAAGCAGCATGTGGTAAGGATGGCTTCAAATCAACATTTGCCCTCCATCCCTGTAATTGAATGGATTTATAAGTGGATCATTCTAGCAGTTGTTAGTTCTAGGTGACCATTATTATCGATCAATTCAGCAAATACGAGAGCACCACATTTCTGGTGTTTCATGATCACATCTTTTTGATAAAAGGCATATTGCGTAGTCCTGCATATCATCATTAAGGGTCTTCAGAGCGCTTTTGGCATAGGTTGATTGTTGTAACTAAAGAATCCAAGCAATGTACTACTACTTCCATTATTTCATCATTATTTTTCATATTTTTTCAATCAATTTCTGGTGCTTATTTTCGCTTGGCTATGCCATGAACTGATGAACATGAACACTACCATGATGATGTTGATACCACTAGTCAACTAATCCCCATTTAAGAATTAACACTTTCTCAAAAAAAAAAATTTAAATCGCTTTTCAAAGAACCATGCAGCAATATGGAGATTATCTATGAGATCTTTAGGCAGCTTCCTGGGCTGTTTCTGTGTTTACAGAATTTTCTCCATTAGGCATTAGATTATGTAGGTCTTGCTAATGTATATCTGCGCTAAATGTAAAGAAAATCATTCTCTGAGACCTTATCTGTTTTATCAGATCTAATAATTCAGCTCTACGACGCATCTAATATTGAATAGTACCACGCAATCCCATGCCGTAATACTTTGTCTGCTTAGTGCCTTAGTCTATTTATTCTACCGAAACACATTTTAACATTCAAAATTTTATTCT